TATGTATATATATATATATATATATATATATATATATATATATAGTTGTTGTATAACTAGTATGCTTATTATATCATGTTTGTTGTGCATTAGTGTATTTTTTAACACTTGTATCAGGGGTGTTCAAAGAAATAGGTCAAGGATCTTACTAGGTTATATTTACATATAATTCACTCTTTAGCTGCATGTCTATGCAAATAGAGTTGCTAGGGATGAGACTAGTAGCTAACGAGCTTGTTCAATCTAATTCTATTGCTGAGGTAAGCCACCGCATTAATCATGGAGGCCATCATTTCAACTTTATTAAATTTTTGCTAGTTATTTTCTTTATTTTAGGATTCACATGCTCGTCAGTTAAATTCATGTTACCCTTTTAAATGCTCCATAATCTTAGTGTGAAATTTGGGCTAGAAATATATGGTTTGAGTGCTCATTGAATTTTTCTATCGATCATTTAAGGATTTGATTGGATAAATATTTCCTATTAAATAATTATTAATGAGTTTGAACTTGTACGTGTTATCTTTCAGTGCATATATAAATGGCTAAGCGTATAAAATTAGTTCGCTTAGGGTGGTGTTAAATGGGTGCCAATCCCATCTAAAGGATAGTTTGGGGCGTGATAAAATTAATCATGAACTCCTCCGAGAAGGTTTAATCACCATCTAATCTTTTTCTCGAAGGTTTTGCTTAGTGAGGTGAGAGCAAAAGTAGAAGGTGGCCAAGAATAATGAGAAGGGGCACCGTTTCAAATGTCAAAACAATTTCGTGAAGTGAAGCTGCCCATTAAAACTGCAGTTCTCATTTACCCTCTATAGCGGCAATCCACCTTTAGGCGGTGATCTGAGCTTTAGATTAATCCTTCTTAAGCATCTTCCGAGTCTACTTGTTTTATATCGTCCACGTCCACGTCATCTATGGGTATATCTTCACTCTCGTAATCAAAGGAACCTGAAAATGCAGCAAAACTAGGTAAAGCTCAAACCCAAAATATTAAAGTTTACATATATTTAGAAAAAGCATGCAGCTCTTCTAGAATAAAAACATCGAACTAGAAATAGGAGACTCAAATGTTATGACTCTAGCATACAAGATATATCCATGCTAAAAACACGTCAGCTATACTTGGTTAAATTGCAGAGAACCCGTGTCGAGAGTATAAAATGACTACAGAAAAGAAAATGTGAGTGATATATAAGGTAATATCCACAGTTTTCCCTCAGCAGAACACGAAATTGAAGGTCTCTACAGCTGCAGATAATGCAAATTTTGAATCAACCAAGGCAATTCAAAAAAAAAACATGACTAACCTAAATATTTGTAGAAGTTCTAACAAGGAACGCAGGTAAAAGCTATCACTCTTCAAAGGACTACGTATAAATTTTTCGCTTGTCAATTCTTAATGTACACCCAATGTACCTAAACTAAGCTTAAACTTTAGCATCAGTTCATTTTAGCCACGGTCAAACACATTATATATTTAATTGTCCTCTAAGATGGCTCTATATTTTACGCCAGAGAATTGTTTTTCAGGAGGAAAAGTGTAAAGGCTCTATATTATATGTCAGAGAATCGTTTTCCACTAATGCAAGTGTTAGAACTTGTGGTTTCTTCTCTTCCCATGTCATAATAAACAAAAGAGTAGTAAAACTTCAACCATTATCAGTTGAATACAGATAATGCATCATAAATCACAAGACTAAACAATTTTTCCGGTCAAATAGAGGAAGAACATTTACATCCTGAAACAAATGAGGCTGTACCTGCAGCAGGCTCCCTTGATTCTGGCATTTTATTAAGAAGATACGCGAGTTCTAGAAACTGTAATAGAGCTTCTGTCTGAGGGTTTTTATAGAAACCTGTGAAGGAAACAGAAAGGAGAGAAAATCAACATCCACCGCTATAAACTATCTTACAACGTACTACTAGGTAGAGAAAAAGAACTAAAACTGCAGAAGTTAATCTAGTATCTGATAGTTCGAGACTCCTACTGTCCATGCCAAAGAAACATTAAAAAATGGGAAAATCCATTGGTTTCTCTCTGGGACAGTTGCAAAACGGAAATCATTACAACACAGGAGTTTAACACCACCATTTGCAGCAAAGCTTGGACATATATAACCCGAACAAAACACTGGTATTACGAAAGCTGCAACAGGTGTACATAAAGAAACGCTCCATTGTATTTACCAGAGACAATCACAGACTAAATCATTTTATGGTTAAAAGAAGTCAGATAAATAGGAGTCAAGATAGATATTGATCGTATATATAAAAGGGGGTGAAGTGGCTTTAAGAATAAAACAACTCAACAACAACAACAATATTATACCCAGTATATTCCCACAAGTGGAGTCTAGGGAAGGTAGTGCGTACGTAGATCTTACCCCTGCCTTATGCAATTAGAGAGGTTGTTTCCGAAAGACTTTCGACTCAGGTAAGCATAGTATCAGTAAAGAAATGCAATAATTAAAATGAACAAGTCATGAAAAGGAAACATAAGCCATAGCAGGATATTTACAAACCAAAATAAAAGTAAAATCAAGTAATAATATAAATCCAAGGATAAACCACAACTCGAGCAATATTAAAGCTACCGGTATGTAAGGATAATCCGCTAGACTACCAACGGGATGATCCGCTATACTACCTACTAACCTTCTACCCTAATCTTCGACCTCCACAACCTCTATTAAGGATCATGTCCTCAGTAAGCTGAAGATGCGTCATATCATGCCTAATAACTTCTCCTCAATACTTCTTAGGTCTTCCTCTACCCATCCTTATACCCATCGTGTGTAACCTCTCACACCTCCTTAGTGGGGCATCTAGGCCAGTGTTTTGGAAAGCGTTAAGCGCAAAAAAGCGACGAGGCCTCGCTTCACAGAAGCGAGAAGCGCGAAGCGAAGGGCGCACTTTTTTGCTGTGAAGCACAATTTAACACATAAATAAAAAATAAAAAAAAATACGCATAGATAAATGGCTAAGAACTCATTAAAAATAACATATTAAGCAAATGTTTCAATTCTTGAATCAAGAAGCAAATAATAGATACTAAAACTAGATAGTGAATAATCCTCAAAAGTCATAAAATATTAAGCAAATGCAAAACAAAATCACAAAAGGAGCAACATCCTATTCTTCAACAAGATCTCCAAACTCTTGAAGTGTCATCATGTTCGAGTTATTATATTGGTCATCATCATCTTCTTCTTCATCGGAGGCTTCATTAATTAGGGTTCTACTTGTACATGTACTTGTAGATACTCTTTCTTTGCTCCTTAAAGTACTTCCCCTAAAACCATAAACATTCTCTTCAACTTCACTTGCCATAGCAACATGACCAAAAGTGAGACCTTCTCCTTCAAACACTTCTTCTTCTTCATGATTTTCGGGAGCTCCGGTTAACCATTCATTTGCTTCATCAATGTTATCCAATAAAATTGGATCAATGATATTGCGAGCTTTGTAACGACGAGCCAATGTTCTATTATATTTTACGAACACGAGATCATTGAGTTTCTTTAGCTCAAGCCTGTTCCTCTTCTTAGTATGAATCTGCATAATAAGATGTAGAAAGTAACTAAGAGGAGTACTTAGGACAATTGAGATAAACTTTAATTTAGTAATAATGTAATACAGCTTCTCACATGTTCATAAACACTCCAATTTCTCTCGCATCCGGATGAGCGACAAGTTAAGCTTTGAACTCTAATAGCAAATTGTTGCAAGTTTGGAACTTCATAACCAAATTGCATCCACCATTCAACTGTAGAAGTATTATTTCAGAAGTTAATAACTTGAAAGTTAAAGCTCTAAAGAGTAAAACAATTGAAAAAAGTTGTTCACCTGGTGCCAATTTGGTTCTGCCTCTAATGGCCGAAGCTAATCCAAGAATTCCATCGGCTTGCATATACACACCAAGCTCTTGCCCTATTTTGTCTTGCATCGCTTCATCTGGCACCAACTTCGCAACACATGCATGATACCCCTTCCAAACGTTTAAATCTAAAGTCTTGTTTTCATTGTTTGTGTAAAACAATCCGGGGTTCAAAATATGCCCTGCTGCATGTAAAGGTTGATGAAGCTGATCAGCCCACCTTTTATCAATGATTTCAAACACTCTCATATTTCTTCCTATCATGATCAAATGCCTTCTCAATAGCTTCTTTAGCCCTATCCCTGGCTTCATAAATGTGTCCCATTGGTGGTTTTTTCTCCCCATCCACCAAACGAAGTACAATAACCAAAGGATTACCAACTTTAAGTGCTTGAACAGTGTCATTCTAAAAATATGGACCCATAATAAATCTCGCAACTTCTTTCCCAAGAGCTTCCTTTGCATAAATACTCTCACTCCATTTGGTTGACAAGAACAAGGTTCGCAAATTTTGCTTTTGCAGGTAAAAGCTATGCAAGGTCAAGATAGCTGTTGCGAATCTTGTCTTAGCCGGTTTCACCAAATTTCTTTGTTTTGTGTATCTCCTCATCATGTTCAACAACAACGGCCTTTGACTAATATAAGAATGTATCTTGATCGCCTTAGCAAAAACTGTAGGAAGTCAAATTTCATAGTTAATAAGTATAAGCAATTAACATGAAGGTTAAAAACTTAAAATAGAAAATAAGAACCACTTGTTCACCTGTAGAATATGGGGCTAACTTGAAAATGTCACCAAACATCAAGTTGATACAATGTGCAGCACAAGGAGTCCAATAAATATTCGGGAAAACTCCTTTCAACATGTCACCCGTTTTTTTATTCTCACTTGTGTTATCAGTGACAACTTGAACCACATTCTCCGGTCCAACTTTCAATATTGTCTTCTCAAGCAAGTTGAACATTTTATTGGAATTGGTTGAGGAGTCACTAGCATCATAAGATTCAAGAAACACACTACCTCTCGGAGAATTCACCAAAACATTAATGACCATTTTTTCATTTTTTGCAGTCCATTTGTCCATCATAATGGAACAACCATAAATTTTCCATTGCGCCTTATGCTCCTCAACAATCTTGTATGTCTTATCCACCTCCTTTTTTAGACAAGGAACTCTTACTTCGTGATAGGTAGGGGGCTTCATTCCCGGGCCATATTGGCCAACGGCCTCAATGAATTCACCAAAACTATCGGTGTAATTCACACAATTAAAAGGAAGCCCCGCATCATACATCCACCTTGCAAAAGCATCTACAGCACACTCCCTCAAACTCTTCCTACAAGATTCTAAGCCAACAGCTTCACCCTTTCTCTTTTCATTTGGTTTTTGTGAGAAAAAAAGATTAAGAGGACCTTTCACATTGCTACCAGCGGTGGATGATCCACTACCACTTGTTGAATTCTTTCTTTGAGATTTAGAGGGAGGTGGCCTCATTATATCATTGACTTCAAGGTCATCCTCATCCATTTGACTATCTTCATCAAGAAGATTAATCATAGATGTTTCATGGCTCATTGGATTTTTTAACTCATTTTTTTTCTCAACATAATCTCTCATTTCTTTCTTAATAGTATCCGGAACACTTGGACATTCTTTGACATCTCTAAAACCACCTATTAGATGTCTCTTGTGACGATGTATTCCACCGTTATAAATTTTTTAACAAAAGATACATTGACTCTTGAGTTATTATTGCCAACTGCAACTTCAAATGCCCAAGCTGGATCTCTTTTTTGGCTTGATGCCATTGAATAATCAAATTAAATTTACTACAATCAACAACCAAAAAAAAATAACAATTAATTCACAAAAGAAAACAGAAAACAGAGCATGAAGAGCAATTTTAATAACAGAAAACAGAGCATAAAGAGAGCATAACAGAAGAAAACAGAGCATAAAGAGCACTTTTAAAAAACAGAAGAAAAAGAAGTTGTTTAGGGCAAAAAATGAGCGCTTAAAAAGTGAAAAAAATTGAAAGAAGCACAGAAGAGAAGAAGAATAACAGAAGAAGACAGAAAAAAGAGCATGAAGAAGAAGAACAGAAGAACTGAAGAAGAAGAAGAAGAAGAAAAGAAGAATAACAGAAGAAGACATAAAACAGAGCATGAAGAAGAAGAATAGAAGAACTGAAGAAGAAGACTAGAAGAAGAAGAAGAACAGAAGAAGAAACTTACCGAGATCGGGAGAAGAAGTGGTTGGAGCAGCAGTGGTCGTCGCTGGAGAAGAAGACCTTGAAGAGCGTATGTTTTGGTAACAGATGGTTTATTTGCCCAAAAATTTTTAAAAAAGCCCTAGCTGATGCCTTCTGCTCGCTTAAGCGAGCTTTTTCTCGCTTTTTCTAACGCGTCGCTTCTCGCATAAGCGAGAAAAGAGCACGCTTTTCGAATGTGAGTCGCCTTTTTAACAGAAAAGCGCTACCACTGCGCCTCGCGTCGCTTCATCGCTTAAAGCGAGAAGCGAGCGCTTTTAATAACACTGATCTAGGCATCTCATCATCACATGCTCGTACCATCTCAACCTCATTTCCCGCAACTTATCCTCCACAAAGGCTCACCTTGTCCTGAATGTCTTCATTCCTGATCATGTCTTACCTCAATATCCTCAGTTCCGCTACTTTCAACTTTTGGACATGAAAGTTCTTAACTGACCAACACTCAATATAATATAATCGGTCCAACCACCACTCTGCATAACTTACTTTTAAGTTTTGGTAACACCTTCTTATCATACAAGACACCAGAGGCAAGCCTCCATTTCATCCATCCTACTCCAATACGGTGTGTGACATCCTCATCGATCTCCCATTACCTTGGATTACTTACCCAAAATATTTGAAACTACCCCGCTTGGGGATGACTTAAGTATCAAGTCTCACTTCCACTACATCCTCATGAGTTAAGCTATTGAACTTACACTCCATGTACTTTGTCTTAGTCCTGCTCAACTTGAACCTTTTAGATTCCAGGGTTATCTCCAAACTTCCAGCCTGACGTTAACTCCACCTTGCGTCTCGCCAATCAGCACTATATCATCTGCAAATAACATCCACCATGGCACCTCTTTAATGTGCCGCGTAAATACATCCATCACCATGATGAATAGGACCGGGCTAAGTGTTGATCCCTGGTGTAACCTCATCATGACCGGGAAGTATCCCGAGTCTCATCCTATTGCTCTAACCGGGTCTTAGCTCCATTATAGATATCCTTAATCGCTCTAATGTACGCTACAGGAACACCACTCGTCTTCAAACACCTCCATAAAACTTCTCTTGAAACGTTATCGAATGTTGTCTCCAATTCAATGAACACCATATGGAAGTCCCTCTTCCTCTCCCTATAATATTCCACCAACCTCCTTATAAGACAAATGGCTTTTGTGGTTGATCGCCCTGGCATTAATCCGAACTGGTTCTCGGATATAGACACTCCTCCTTACCCTCATCTCTATCACCCTCTCCCAAACTTTCATAGTGTGACTTAACAGCTTGATACTCATGTAATTGTTCCAATTTTGGATATCTCCCTTGTTCGTATACAGCAGGATCATCGTACTCCATCCTAAGGCATTTTGGATGCCCTAAAAATAACATAAAATAGGCCTTTGAGCCACTCCGAACCTGCCCAACCGCGTTCTTCCAAAACTCTACCGGAATCTTGTCAGACTCAGTCGCTCTTCCCCTGTTCATCCTACGCATAGCCCACTCCGCCTCCTCGGCCTTTATCCGCCTATAATACCCAAAATCTAGGCGACTCTTGGAGTGCTCCAGATCACCCGGCATAATGTTCCAATCCCCATCCTCGTTCAAGAGTGTGTGAAAGTACATCTGCTATCTTCGTCTAATAAGTGCCTCTTCTACCAATACTTTTCCTTCCTCGTCTTTGATGCACTTCACTTGGTCTAGGTCGTGGACCTTCCTCTCTCATCTTGGCTAGCTTAAACAGCTTCTTGTCCTCGCCTTTGCCCTCAAGTTCTTCATACAAGCGTCCAAACGCTGTTATCTTCACCGACGTGACCGCTAACTTCGTTTCCCTCTTAACCGTCTTGTACCACTCCATGTTGTCCTCTTCTCTTCGTCTTTGCTCTCAAATAACTTCAAATCGCTGCCTTCTTAAGAATAAAACAACTCGATGATGTAAATAGTGATAGACTAACAAGTAGAGTAACACCTTTTTAATGTTCTCGTCTGACCACCATCTGAAAGAATACTTCATTTCAAATATCGTTGTTCAAGTTTACAGTTTTAAGAGAAAACCAATGATTTAGCATGCATGGGGAGCACAGACTGCTCAATGACAAGTGAGATCATAAATTACTTTTCGGTTTATTTAGATGTTTGGAAGTATTACAGTGGGATTCACAGCTTTTAACTGTATATCCTAAGTGGAAGAGTATTATGCTTTAGGAAAGATAGACATTAGTTTGGCCTGGTAAAAATGGAAAGCATGGCATTCAATTTGAAATAGTATTACGGTTAACTGTGTTCAGAGACTTAAAAATGAAGATACCAGTGAGCTTCTACTGGACAGATTTCAACCTCACTTGTTGAATAGTTCCAAGTAAACTCATTTTTTATTCTAGATGACGATGACAGACACTCAATCGACTGCACCAAACATCTTATGACACAAAAAAATAAGCACATAGATAATGTCCAGGTATATAGATCATCACCGTGGAAGACACCATTAGCAACAGGGTGAGAAGGATTGTAGCAAGGTGCAGTCTGAACAAATTCAAATGGTTTGGATCCCCTTGTCTGCAGCTTATTTCTTACAAACTGGTGGCATTGTTCTGTGTCAAGATGTACATCACTACAATATAAAATGAGGTGAGTTGTGTACAAGCTGATTTCCTGAAATACAATAAAAACAGAACTAAGAAATGTACATACCTATAGTTTGCACGCCTGATTGTCAAGGGCAAGACAGCATTATACTTTCTTGTGATTGCCAACCATTCTTCATCAAATTGAAGTTCATGAGGTCCTGGTCCGGACTCAATTTCAATAACCTATGAAGCTCAGCCACCCAAATCAAAACATTAACTTTATGTGTGAACTGTAGAAAAGGTCCGTAAACAGGGTGCAGAGAAATACCTGCAAAAACTTTCTACCAGGGAGGCACTTGTCAAGGGCAAGAAACTTTGTGGAAGGACCATCCTTCTCATGCTGAACTAAAGCAGCAAATTTGCAGTGCAGATGTGCAGAAAACCAGTAAGAAGGCCTCAACTTTGCCAGTAATTCTGCAGCAGGTCTGCTTCCCAGAGTTCCTTCCTGAATCTGAAAGACTACATATAAGGGATCGAAAAAATAAAATAAATATAATTCTGGACTTCAGAAGACGAATATGACACAAGCACAAAGAAGACAAAGGAATGTACACACATACATGTGCTACTTATGGCTTCAACACAATTTCTATCAACATAACGGATATCAAGAAATGTTCTTGGCGTAGAGAACTAACAGGAAGTCCAAGGATAACAAAATATTAGACCAAAGAGTCGTCCAATTAAATGTGAAAGGGAAGAAAACAATTGAGACAATCAGGTTGCTCCAGTGATAAAACACTCCACTCCAACCAACCAAGAGGTTGGCAGTTCGAGTCACCAAGGGAGCAAAGTGGGTTCTTGGTAGCAGCCATTCTTGACTTACAGGGAGGAGGTTTGGGAGGTGAGGTTTTCTATATCCGGAGAACCAAAAAACGGACAATAGTAGTGGTCTAGGACGTGCTGAACCCCCTAGAAAGGAATGCCATGGAAAAACAGCTAACTTAAGCTGGAGGCAGAAAAGCACACCACACAAGACTTTAGTAGGGAGCTGAAATATTTGCAGATGACAAAATGCACCAAACAACTACATATCTTGTACACCTGCAAGATTTTTCTATTTTTTTTTTCATTAGCAAAATTGGAACTTGATCTGTCATCACCGGAATGTCTCCAGCAAATGGCATCCCAAGAATTACTCCAGATGTGCAATTACAGCCGTTGAGCAATTTGAAACATTTGCAGTATCTCCCCCCACTTTCTTCTTCTTCTTCTCTTCTTCCTTTCCAACTTCTCTTGAGCCGAAGGTCTATCGGAAACAGCCTCTCTACCTCCCCAGGTAGGGGTAAGGTCTGCGAACACATTACCCTCCCCAGACCCCACTTGTGAGATTATACTGGGTATGTTGTTGTTGAAACAATTGCAGTATCTCTGGCTTGAATAATTGTAGCAATGAAATCAAACTCTAGGGGAAGACCATTGAGAATATGAAGCACAAGATCATCAAGTGAAACAGGAGATCTAGAGCTTGCAAGTTGATCTGCTATTTGTCGAACATGTTGAATGTAGGCAGTAATCGTCATGTTGTCCTTTGATACTTTTGCAAGACTATCTCGGAAACTCATTAGATGTGCACAATTTGGAGTTGCATACAAATTCTTAGCCGTCATGACAAAAGGCACAATCTCAGCGGAAAGAGTGAAAATTAAAGCAGTGCGACGGAGACTATCTTGACGCTTCCAAAAAATCGAATCTGTCTGAGAAGGTGTGTCTATGTATTTTTTAAAATCGTAGCCAACAAGAGCAGACTCCCATTAGGTATGCCAGGAAAAATAGTTGGTGGACGTCAACTTAATTGGGGTAAGAGAACCAATATTAATGGAAAGAAGGTCAGAAGAACATTGAGTTGCAGAAATTATCGAAACGGAGGAAGGTGATTTATCGGACTAAATGTTTATTTAGGTATTATCAGATCCTCTTGAGAGGAAGATTCCAATGTGCATTGATGAACCACTGAGTTGAAAAAAAAAATTATGCCGCATGGTTTTCCTGCTACAGTGGAAGTTTATAAGAATGCGGGTAAGGCAGGCTTGGAGTGATTCACTGGGTTGTTTAATGTCATTTTTAGAACGAAGAAGATGCCCGAAGAATGGAGGTGGAGTACGATGATTCTGTTGTACAAGAATAAGGGTGATATCTAAAATTGCAACAACTAGGGGTATCAAGTTGTTAAGCCATACTATGAAAGTTTGGGAGAGGGTGGTAGAAGTGAGGCTGAGGAGGAGTGTGTCTATTTTCGAGAACCAGTTTGGATTCATGTCAGGTCATTCGACTACGGAAGTCATTCTCAAGGAGATTAGTGGAGTAGTATAGGGAAAGGAAGAAGGATTTGCATATAGCGTTCATTGACCTAGAGAAAGTATACGACAATGTCCCAAGGAAGGTTCTATGAAGATGTTTGGAGGCTAGAGGTGTGCCAGTAGCTTACACTAAGGTGATTAAGGACATGTATTATGCAGCTAAGACCCAAGTAAGAATAGTAGGAGGAGACTCGAAACACTTCACAATTGTGATGGGGTTTCATCAGGGATCAATTCTTAGAGCCTTTTTATTTGCCTTGGCGATGGACGTTGACGCGCCACATTCAAGGGGAGGTGTCATGGCATATGTTATTTCAAGATGACGTAGTTCTGATTGACGAAATACAAGGCGGTGTTAACAAGATTGACAGGATTGTCGAGCTAGGATTGTCAGGTTCAACTTTCCAAACGGGTTGGTTATTGAATGGAAGGGAGGTAATGTGATGCCAAAGCCCTCCCCAAACTCCACTTATGGGATTTCACTAGGTTTGTTGTTGGTTTTCAGCTCCGATACCATAAAGAATATGAAATAAATGTTCTCTCATTTATTTACTGAAGAATGGTGTTGCTTTTATACAGAGAAATAGCTATCAAAAATAGGAAAAAGACTAATTCAAATAACTTGATTACAGCAATTACAATCAAAGAGAATCAATAGAAATGTTAACATTATCAGCCAGCTGGAGCTAGCACAGATGTTTCCTTATTATCAAGCGTATCATTTATAGGTGTATAACAATCTTGAAAAGCCACATCCAGATTAATCTTTCACATGTACATTGGATTGGTTCCAACAGAACCAACAATTTTCATGAAGTAAATTTCTAAAAACTTGGTTCCACAATTATATCTGAAAGATTAAAAGGCACGGCATGCAGTATTTTGAATGAAACATGTAGCTAGTTAGGCTTCTAAATATTGTTTCTTTGTTTTTTTTCTTTCTTTTTTGGTGGGAACGGGATTGATTCTAGTGTGGTTTATAACATTCAACAATATTTATTACATGAATCTTTTGATTTAGCTTGTCTATTAACCAACCAAATAAAAAAGAAGAAAAAAATTGTATATCGTGATGTATGTACATTATTGGACATCTGGGGCATATTGAGGATAACTTCATGCAACAAGGGCATTAAAGGAGAATTTCTCCGTCAAACATGAAGAGTGTGTGTAACGACAAATACGGTGTTCATCACAGACAAGAGAACCTCTTGGATAACTGTCAATTAGAGAATAAGTTAATGGATAATATCTCACTACTCAAACAATTCATTAACGGAAGACAGCAAAAATTTATATTTTGCTCTGGTTTTTTCCCTTGTGTGTGCGTTCGTGCAAGTGTGTGTGCATGTGTGTGTGTGTGAGATAGAGACAGAGAGAGAGAGAGAGATCATGTCCATGTATCTGATAAAGTTAATAAAAATAGCATATAAAAGGAGTAAGGTATTTTCCATTAGGATAAGCAGATCTGCATATAAGATTTTATCTTAACAAGGTATATCAGCCATGGAAAAAGTGAACCTGCTAATAATTACCTCTTGTTCAAAGAAAGGCTTCTGACGAAGAAGAGCTTTCAAGTTCCCACAGTCAGTGATGCCAACAGGCCAGTCATGTGAAAGAAAAATATCAATTGGTTCCTCAACTTCCAAGAGCTTGTGAACATCATACTCGCGAACATGATAAATAGATCGAATATCCCGTTGATTATAAGGCAGCTTCTCATAGTGCCCTGCCCAATATCATGCACGTCACAGATAACAATCGCGTATATCCAACTTCAAGTTTTTAAAGCTTATATTCAGTAGCAAATCTAGAGGAGCTAGGAACAGTCAATTAGTCAACTAATACAATTTGCATTTTGGCAAAACCTACAAGGTTGCTTTCACTAACACATTAACACTAAAAATGCCAATATCTAAATCCAGGTAATATTTGCTAAGACTGACATACCTCGATTGTAATCGTGTGATTTATAAATTCCGGAAAGGCCACCAATACGAATGTTGCCAAACTTGATTACTCCAGCAAATCCAAGGAAGTATATCTGAGGTGCTGCCCATCCTCCATAGTACCTGGAAGCACAAACAACCACTGGATTAGCTAAGCAAGTTGAGGAAAGCAGCATACTAAAACTGACGTATCCTAAAGTAGCATACATTGACTGCAGCTGTCATATATGGAGACCAACTTACAATTCCCAAAGGTAATTGGATGCTTCATGGTTTCCTCCAATAAATATAGTTGGAAATGGTGCTACTTTCTCTCCTGAGTAATACTTCCAGAAAGAGTTCATGCTCCGGTATTTAAGTGGCGCGTTTAAGCTTTCCAGATCCTTCTCATTCCTAACAGCCTGTTTGCACAAATAAAATATCTCAATTCATACTAGTCAAGCTGAGGATTTAAGTGTTTTAGAGCATCAAACTGTTGAAACTGCTCAGCCAAATCAACACATTCAAAGGCCAAGAGCCCAAGAATGATTTAAGCATCATTAATAATGGAATCCCATATCAATTACCAACATCATGAAGCATAGAAGAT